CCATCCATTTCAGATACTCATTTTAGGACTAGTCTTTTAATTTAGGGGGGGGCTGACTTTTTTTTTAGTTTTTCATATTTTCTAAATAGTAGTCCTTTTTCTGAAGAACAGCTGACAAAAATTTTCTCCCACAGGGTGGACTGTCTTTTCACTCTGTTGGTGTTTTCTTTTGCTGTACAAAGCTTTTTAATAAGATGAAGTTCCACTTGTTGATTCTTAGTGATAGTTCCTGTGAGGAAAAGGTCTTGTTCATAAAGTCTTTGCCTATACCTATGTCTTCAAGTGTTTTATCTATTCTATCTTGCAGCATTTTTTAAAATTATTTATTTATTTATTTAATACAAGGTCTCACTACGCAGCTTGGACTTGTATGACCCTCCAGTCTCAGCCTCCCCACCACTGGGATTATAGGTGTGCGCCACCACACCTGGTCTCAGTGGCCAGCACAGCACGCCTGGGGTTCCAGGGAGGGCCAGGCATGGGCTTAGACTGGCAAGCTATCTCCCCAGCCACACGCAGCACGTTTAGTATTTCTGTTTTAATGTTCAGACCTCTGACCTGTTTCTATTCTATTTTAGTGTATGGTAAGAGACATAGATCTATTTTTAGTCTTCAGCACGTGGTAAGCCAGGTTTTTGGCACCACTTATTAAAGAGGCTCTCTCCTTTCCAATAGAGGTGTTTGGCTCCTTTATCAAGCATAAGGGGGTTGAGTACGTCTGCAGCTGTTTCTGTATCCTCTAATCTGTTGCACTGATCCTTGGATCCATTTTTCTTTCCCAATATCATGCTGTTTTCATCACAGTAGGTTTGTAGTATAATTTCAAGTCAGGGATCGTGATGCCTCGTGCCTTGCCTTCATTGGCCACAATTGCTTTTGTTATTCTAGATCTCTTCTGGTTCCAAGTGAATTTTAAGATTGTCTTCTCTATCTCTGTAGTACACGCTATGGTTATTTTTACTGGAACTGCATTAAATCTGTGTAACAATTTTGAAAGTATGGCTATTTTCACTATACTGATTCTGCCTACACAAGAATAAGGGATACCTTCCCATATCCTCTTTGAGTTCCTTTTTCAGACTACTATAATAGTTCTCAATGTAAACTCTTTATGTTCCTTCATTAAATTGATTCCTGGGCTTTTCATTTTTTTGGATGCCATTGTGGAAGGTGTTATTTCCCCAATTTCTCTCTCAGTGAGTTTGTTATTAATGTGTAGGAATGGATTGCACTTTGAATCTTCACTTCAATTTCTACTATGCTGCCAAATTTGGTGATGACTTCTACAAGTCTTTTGATGGAGCTTTTGGGTCTTCTATATAGAGTATCATCTCATCAGCAAATTATGACAATTTAACATTTTCCTTTTTTATGTTTATTTCTTTTATTTCTTTCTTTTGTCTAATTGCTCTGGCCAATGTTTCCAGAACTATATTGAAAGGAGAGGTGATACCAGACATCCTTGTCTTGTTTTTGATTTAGAGTGAAAGTTCTTAGTTTTTGTCTATTCAGTATGATGTTGGTTTGTAATACAAAGATTTTATCAGATTGAGATAAAGACCTATTCCAAATTTTTAGGGTTTTTTTTTTTTATCACAAATGGAGTTAGACTTTGTCAAATGCTTTTTTTGTGGACTTATCTAGAAGATTATGTGGTTTTCATCCTTGGTTCTGTTAATGTGATATATTACATTTATTGATTTGCATATGTTCAACATTCCTGTATCCCTGGGATGAACCCCACTTGGTCATGGTGTATAATCTTCTTGATGATTGGCTGCACTGTGCTTGCCAGTATCTTATTAAGGATTCTCGCATCTGGGTTCATGAGGGAGATTGGTCTGTATTTCTTTTTCAGTTGGATCCTTTTAGTAGCAGTGTAATGTTTACTTCTAGGAAAGAATTTGGGAGTATCGCTTCCTTTCAATTTCATTAAAAAACTTGAAAAGAACCACTTCTCTGCTCATGCTACCCTTTCTGTCTCTGTCGGCACAGGCCTGCCCTACAAACATTTTCCCATGATAGACAAATGTCCACTGTCAGATATACACCTGCAGTTCTCTGCTCATTGTATACCACAGCCTGGAGTCTACCAGCCAAGTCCACAACACAGTATCACCTCCCATTAGTCATGCCATGAAGTAACTTACAGGAATAAAACGTTGTCTTCAAACAGTGATTTCTTCATCAAACACAAAACAAAACTACACCATAATACACAGTTTCTGGTTATTCAGAAAAAATTATAAAGGGTCATACAAAGGTAAAAAGGAGTAATCTGAAGGAGCCATTAAAAATTAAAATCGAATGCCACAAAACAGAACGTACTTTCAAAAAGTTATCATTATACGTATCATAATAAAGACACATGATACTTTAGCAATCATTTATAAAAAATTCCCCTCTATTATATTCAACTTTACTAAAGACTAGATTTTTTTTAAAAACTCAATGTCTTTTTATTGTTAAAAACTCAAAGTGACAAGGCAATCTGAAAGATAATCTATTATTTTCACTTCCTATTACCTACCAGTACTGTCATCATCTATCAACTATGCACTTCAACTTACCACCATCTGTTTAAGTAAGAATAATGTATCATTATCAATAATATACAAAAAATAAAGTCTAGACCACAAAGGTATACCTGCCTAAAAATGTTCACTCAAACACAAATATTTACCTTTGTTTAGAGACCTCACTTAAATGTAAAAA